CCTCCTTGGGTTTCCGAGGCAGTATCACTATGGAAGTAGGATTGCCCAACCTTCCTTCCGAGGAGTGGCTGGTGGGTTTGAACTGCCGGCCTTCTGGTTAGCAGTCAAGTGCTTTAGCCACTATGCTACCAGAGCTCCTATCCACCTATAGACAGGTGATTTTTAATAAAGTGCCAAAGGTCATTAAATAGGGAACAAATAGTCTCTTTAATACATTGTACTGGCAAAAGTGCATATCCATTTGAAGAAAAATAAAATAGGATCCATACCTCACATGATACACATAAATAAATTGAAAACAGATCAAAAATCTAAATGTAAAATCTAAAACTATAAAGTTCACAGAAGATAGCATAAGGATAGGAGATTGCCCAGTCTTCCTTCCGAGGAGTGGCTAGTGGGTTTGAACCACCAGCCATCTGGTTAGCAGTCAAATGCCTCAGGCACAATGCCACCAGAGCTCATAAGGACAAGCATAGAGGTCCTAATTCATGCCATACATATATTAGCAAACATAACTAAAAATGTACAAACACCAGAATATAAACTAGATAACTGGGACTCCTAAAAATTAGATACTTACTCTCATCAAAACACTTCACCAAAACAGTAAAATGTATCGGCAAAAGTCTTATCTCTAAAATTTATTAAAAACTTCAACTCCTCAACAACAAAAAAGACAAACAATCCAATTAGAAAATGGGCAAAGGACATGAACAGATACAAATACATGAAAAAATGCTCATAGTCCCTAGCCATTAGAGAGATGCAAATCAAAACTACAATGAGATATCATCTCACCGGAGCAATAATGGTACAAAAAAAAAAAAAAAAGAACAACAAATGTTGGAGAGGCTATGAGGAGATTTGGAACTCTTCTATATTGTTATTAGAACTGCAAACTGTTATAACCCCATGGATAATGGTATGCCATTTGCTTAAAAAACTAGAAATAGAAATACCATATGATCCAGCAATTCCACTCCTAGGTATATATTCTAAAGAAATAAGTGCTATGACACAATTAGACATATGCATACCCATGTTCATCACAGCATTATTCACAATAGCAAAATGATGGAAACAACCCAAGTGCCCATCAACACATGAATGGATAAATGAACTACAGTACATCATACAATGGAATACAACACAACATAAAGAATAATGATGAATCCACATAGCATCTCACAACATAGATGAATCTGGAGGATAATAACTTCGACTTCACTGCCATCAAGTCAATTCCAACTCAGGGGGACCCCTCCTTGGGTTTCCGAGGCAGTATCTCTATGGAAGTAGATTGCCCAACTTTCCTTCTGAGGAGTGGTTGGTGGGTTTGAACCACCAGCCTTCTGGTTAGCAGTCAAATGACTTAGGCACAATGACACCAGAGCTCCTCTGGAGGATAATATTCTGAGTGAATAAGTCTATCATAAAAGGACCAATACTACATGAGACCACTAGAAAAAGTCAAGAATAGGTTTATACACTGAAAGAAGCATTCTTTCATGGTTACAAGGGATGGAAGGGAGAATCACTAACTATAGTAACTGGACAGTACACAAGCGTTAATTCTGATGAAGAAAAAGGCATTCACAATATGAGGGACGTGAGACCAATGTGACCAAGGCAAAGAATTATGAGACTAAAGGACAACTATAGTAAATGCTCTGGTAGTGTAGTGCTCATGCATTTGACTGCTAACCAGAAGGCTGGCAGTTCAAATCCACCAGCCACTCCTCGGAAGGAAATTTGGACAATCTACTTCCGTAGAGATACCACCTCAGAAACCCAAGGACGGGTTGCTATGAATCGGCTCTGACTCAACGGCAGTGAGTAGAATGGTAAATGCTATAATGTATACAATCCTGCAACAACAGTAATAACAAACAATAATTTGTGGGTAGATACATAGGTAAATAGGAGCTCTGGTAGCATAGTGCCTGAGACACTTGACTGCTAACCAGAAGGCTGGCGGTTCAAACCCACCAGCCACTCCTTGGAAGGAAGATGGCACAATCTACTTCCACTTTGATACTGCCTTGGAAACCCAAGGTGGGGTTGCTATGAGTCAGGGCTGATTCAACAGCACATAACAGCAACAACAACAACATAGGTAAAAAAATTAAGTAAAGGAGGTCATGTAGGCATGGTTGTGGATATTTCTACATACATATTTGAAAATGCTACATGAATACTCATATATAATAGAGTACATAGAGAGCACAGTTATAGAAACTACTTAGACATTGGGACTGAACTACTGGGCTTGGAGGCATAGGACCATGGTCTCAGGGGACATCTAGGTCAGTTGGCAACAGACAGTTCATAAAGATAATGTTCTACCTCCTAGTCTGGTAATTAGCATCTGGGGACTTAAAAGCTTGTGAGTGGCCATTTAAGAAGTAACTATTGATCTCTTCCTGCCTGGAACAAAGGAGAATAAAGAAAACCAGATACTCAGGGAAGCAATTAGTCCAAAAAACTAATGGCCAACATGAACTACAGCCTGCTAGAGACCAGAAGAACTAGATGGTGCCTGGCCACCACTACTGACCACTCTGACCAGGACCAAAATAGAAAGTTCTGGTTAGAATGAGTAAAGGTAAAACAAACTTAAACATAAAAAAAAAAAAAAAAAAAAAGACCAGACTTACTGGTCTAAAAAAGACTGAAGAACCCCTGAGACTGTTGTCCTAAGACAGCTTTCTAACTTGAAACTGAAGACATTCTCAGAGGCCACCTTTCAGTCAAATAAAGAGGGGCCTATCAAATAAACAATAATACCTGCAAAGAATGTGAACCTTAGAACACTCCGAACACTCCATTATAGGAAACCAGAAGAGCAACATTTACCAAAAAACAAAACTGATATAGAAAGGAGGGACAGGGAAACCAGATGAACAGAAATGGGAAATCCAGGGAGGAAAAGGGGAGAATGCTGACACATTGGGGGAACTGCAACCAGTGTCAGGGAATGATTTGTGCATGAATTATTGATTGCAAAACTAATTTTCTACATAAAATTTCACCTAAAGCAACATAAAATATTTCAAAAAAATCTAATTACCAATTATGTAAGAATAATTATGAAGAAAGACATTGTGAATTTTTACAAATACCTTCTCTTCAAGCATTATTTCAACATCCCCTCCACTCTTAATATTCAATACTAACTTTTTTACAGGTGAACAGTGTTGTTATTTTTAGGTGCCGACCAGCCACCTAGCTCAGCAACTTTAATAGAATGAAAGATTGCTTGGATCTGTGCCATCCTCACAATGGTTTATATGCATGAGCCCATTGCTGCAGCCACTGTGTCAATCCATCTCATTGAGAGTCTTCCACTTTTTCCATGACCATCTACTTTACCAAGCTTGATGGCCTTCTTCAGAGACCTATCGCTCCTGATACCATGTCCAAAGTATGTGACGCAAAGTCTTGCCATCTTCACTTCTAAGGAGGGTTCTAGCTGTCCTTCTCCCAAGACAGATTGGTTTGTTCTTCTGGAATCCACGGTGTATTTGATATTCTTTACCAGCACCATAATTCAAAAGCATCAATTCTTCTTTTGTCTTCCTTATTCATTATCCAGCTTTTGCATGCATATGAGGTGATTGAAAATACCCTGGTCCAGGTCAGGCGCACCATAGTCCTCAAAGGTGAAAAGTACTCAGGAATAATGTGTTACTGGGTTAGTAACTAGTGAACAGAAAGTTAGTCCTCAGGGAAGGCTATTTGGAAACTATGATAAGCAGATAGTTATTATCAGAAAGGAGAATTTTAAAACTTACATTGAATAGTCAAAAAAGAGGGAAATCAAAAGTTTTCAAACAAAAAACTAAGTGTGGGATGCTCTGAGCTTAGAGGCTGTTAGAAGGGGAAGGGCATCACCATTGCAAGTTAACTGTGAACGACTACTACTTCAATCGATGGATTATATACATGTATATATGTTGTTGTTGTTGTTGTTGTTATTTGCCATCGAGTCAGACCCAACTCATAGCAACCCCTCCATGGGTTTTTGAGGCAGTATCTCTACAGAAGTAGATTGCCCAACCTTCCTTCTGAGTAGAGGCTGGTGGGTTTGAACCGACAGCCTTCTGGTTAGCAGTCAAGTGCCTTAGGCACTATACTACCAGAGCTCCTACATGTATATATAATCATATTTTTTTCATATATTTTTCATATTTTTTAAATTTTTTTTCTTTTCATTAGCCAAGTGAGATTTGCTTGTGGTTGTTACTTTTTGTGCCTCTCATGATCTCAGACCTTCTCCTTTGAACAGGTGTGGTGTTCCCTTACTTTCCTCGACTGGGGCGCTACCATCTCAATTTTCATGAGGCGCAGCAGGCTTGTCTGGACCAGGATGCTGTGATTGCCTCTTTTGACCAGCTCTACAATGCCTGGCGGGCCGGGCTGGATTGGTGCAATGCTGGCTGGCTCAGTGATGGATCTGTACAATACCCGATCACAAAGCCCAGAGAACCATGCGGAGGCCAGAACACGGTGCCCGGCATTAGGAACTACGGGTTTTGGGATAAAGATAAAAGCAGATATGATGTATTCTGTTTCACATCCAACTTCTACGGTAAGATTAACTTCACTGCCTTCTTTCCTATCTCAGAGACCAATATGTACGGACACTACAGTTGGGTTTTAATCTTATTTACTTAAAATAATAGCTTTGATATATTGTTCCAATTTGAAAGAAACTGTAAAACATTCTCTAATGTCATTAAAATTTTAAATATCCACATAATTCAAAAAAGTGCATAATTTTACTATGCTTAGTTTATACTATTTCCCATTTATCATGAAATACCTTAAGCCATCACTTTATATGGGGTCTTTTTTATTTTTATTTATTTATTTATTTATTGGCCAAATTAGATGCTGCCACGATGGGCCCTCCATGGAAATATGGATTTCTTATTTGGCAAAGCTCAGGATAAAGAGGGAAATAGAAATAACATTCAGGAATTGTACTTAAGTAAGGAAGAAATAGGAATGCCTCATTAGAGTAGAACCAACTTTAATGATATGGATAAAGTAAGTCTTTCAGGATCTCCATGTGCTGACATAGCATGACTCAAATTGAGAAACAGCTACAAACATCCATTAATAATTGGAACATGGAATATATGAAGTATGAATCTAGGAAAATTGGAAGTTGTCAAAAATGAAATGAAGTCCATAAAGACTGATATCCTAGGCATTAGTAAGCTGAAATGGACTAGTTTTGGCCATTTTGCATCAGACAACCATATGATCTACTATCCTGGGAATGACAAATTGAAGAGGAATGGCATGGCATTCATCATCACAAAAGGTGTTTCAAGATCTGTCCTGAAGTACAA